AAACCTCCAGATCCCCAGATCATATACTGTAATTTCATTGTAAAAAAGAAACCAATTTTTTCTTCTGGTTGCTAAGGCATATCTTATCGAAGCTACTAACATGGTCAACTTTATACGCATTCGATCATATCTAATCATTGCATTGTTAATTGATTTATTTACGGATTTTCTCTTTCATCACTTATATACGTACGTACTTTATATAGCTAATTTATTAGTCTAAAATTTTTAACATGACGGTGTGATAGAATCATAAAATTATGTTAGCAAATTTAAAACTTAGTTATGATTTTATCTGGCTAGTTAGTTAAAGTTTCAAAGATTATAAAAAAACTATAATAAATTTATATCGCATGTAATAAGATTTGCAATTCCAATGATAATACATTTTTTACGATTTACAAATTTTATTCGAGCGATCAATCGAACTACCCCATTGTAATATAATAATCAAAAAACTTGAATTTTATATGATCATAAGCCTACGTTAATATTGATTGTCGCATAATACTCAATTGAGTTATTAGCATCTCTAATATTATGGTTTAAGAGGTTATCTAAAAAATACAGGATCTATACTTTCAAAATTAATAAATCTTTCTTTTCCATAAAATTTTACTAGTAAAATCTTCAATTTTTACAAAATTTAAAAAAATCGGGTTTAAATAATTTTATTCTACTATTTTCGATAAGTTAAACCAACCTCAAAATTTGAAATAAGTTAATTTGTAAGTTGAAAAGGATCTTGAGTTTATAGTAAATTTATATGTTTTTATTATAATTTTTATTATAATTTATCACTCTAACATATTCCCTGACTGATATACGATAACTAATCCACATTGTTTTGTTCAATCTTCAAATGGATATTCGAAAGGTTCCGGTGGTGATGCCTCCTCTTCTTCCGTCACTTCTGTCGCTGCTAAGAGATCAAAAAAAATATATATTAATTTAAAATAATTTTAAGAAAAAAGACATTTTATTTTTACTAACTTACCAACTGGTGTGCTTGGCGAAATTAATTCTTCTTTTTCACCGGGACGTCTATCTATCATCATCAGAATTCCACCGATAGAACCCTATACATCGATTGTTCACACGTGAATCATCAATCAATAATCTATAAAAAATTGCTTATTACAACTTTCAAGTATCTTAATTTTACCTTTTTTACAGGAACATAGCGAGAAGTCTCAGGGAAAGAAATATATTGTAACTGTGCTGGTAAAACACGTGCCATATTTTCGAGAATTTCAAACGATTCTTCTTTTTTCTTTTTCCCCTTTTTATCATCCTTTACTTCTTCCTAAACGATAATCATGGACCTTAACAAAAAATAATATTACTAATTGCTATCAATATAATATACATACCTTT